TGAGGGCTAGAGACGACTCCGATGACGCGCCGCGCTCGTAGTGACCTTATCGCACATCCGCCTATTGCTCCCAACTAAAACATAATTATATCTTAAGTGATCATCCAGCCGTGAACACGTCACGATGTAGCAATTTTCCGGAGCCATGTCCTTGCGACACACAAGCAGAAGACGACGACCTTCCGGAGCGAGCATCGCGCCAATGGCAAGGCGAGCTGAGGCAACATGGCGGCCACAGCCAATCAAGGGCCTCGAAACAACTTTAAAACATTTGCTTTTTGTGCGCTTGCTTTTAAAGGGAGGAGCCAGCTGAGGCGGGAAAGTTAAACACGGATAAATGCTCTTTCCGATGAGCCCAAGAAGCCAGCTCCCGGCCCCGCCTTCGCGAAGCCATAATTTTTTGAAAATCGCTGTTTTCTCGCGATTTCCAGAAAAAGTTTCGCTACCTAGGTGTGTGAAATGAATTTTCCGAAGCACTTCTGCGCGGTTTTCAGTGTAGATATTTTGGAATCAGATAGAAAAAGGGTTCTAGAAACTGAAAAGTTGATTTTCAAGAAATCAATTTTTCTGCCATTTTTTGCGATGCCAAAGCCACGTCGCCCCTTAAGTAAACAAAAATGGCGGTACCCACGCTAGCGCGGCAAAAGCAGACGTTTACAAATTTTGAGTGCGCATAACCTGCATATGAGCATATTTTCGACAGTTAACCTTTGGCGGGAGGGTCAAATAAGGCCCACACCGTGGTAAAAAATTCTTTAATGCGGGATCGCTGCCCAAAAACATTTTTTTGCCGCGAGATACGCAATACATGGGCTTCTATGAACGTTCGCCGGGGATCCGGAAATATTTCGTTGTCGCGGGGATTTCGTACTTGCGGGGTTTCGTTATTACGGGTTTTGACTGTACAACGCAGTACAGATGAAGCTACTGCAATTAAACACGTAATGAACCCACCTTCTTTTAAATAAAGTTGGCACTAACTTGGGGGAAGGGTTCATTACGCATGAGAAAAAAGTCACGGAGAGTTATAACAGCGAACATTTCTCATGACGGCTTTGCTTGTTTTGGCTCGTGAAATGCATGACAAATATTTTTTGTAGCCCAAAGCTCTTTTTTTGTTTCCTCTCGTAACAAAGTGTACGGATCGACGCCGAAGTGTCGTCCTGCCGCTTGGTTCCAATGCTCCAGTGTATGCTGTTTGTAACCAGCCATATAGCTAGCGTATCGGCCGAACGCACCCTGCGCAGCAGCTGTCCGAAAAAAGTTCAGAAGGATATACCTGACAACAAAAACGCAGCGTTGGATGGTGGCACACAAACGTTGTGGCAGAAGTTGCGGGTGCACAATGCACCGTCAGCACGGTGGGTACGGTTGCGCTTCGCATGGCCTCCGATATGACGGTCGCGCGACGTGTTTCTATGCCGCGTGCCCGCCATTTCGGAGGCCACCCGCCTTCTTTTTGTTTGTTTTAGTGCCGCTGTGCTTGCGTGGCGCTATCAGCATGGCTTCCGAAATGGCGGCTGCGTGACATGTTTCTCTCCGGCCGTCCCAATCGCCGTGCTCTCCAGCAAAACAAATGAGTATCGCCTCGCACCCAGCTGCCGCGAGAGGGCGCATTGAGTGAGGGTGCTGGCAGCGGCTGCGACCATGGCATGCAGCAGAGCGCACGGGATTCCAGCATATGCATGTTTTCTTTTTTGGACCTATGAGCAAGAATACCCGCCAGGACATTCTGGCTGAACTGAAGGAAAGTATTTTTTTCTGTTACTGAATTTATTTTGGTTCAACTGATAAAGAAAAGCATGTAAACTGCTGTATTTTCCTTATAAGTAATTGTAAGAAGGTATCAATTCATCTGTAGTAGTATCACTATTTTTTTCTTATTACAGTCTGTTTTGTCTCAAAGCTAATTACCTAAATTTGAAAAACATAGAGGCATTCTAGCTCCTCCTTTCTGGAGATTTGTACAGAGGGAAGCTAGGCTAATTATGGTCGTTGAATCGTATTGTTCTCGTATCCTGACTAATATTTTACTATTATACGCGAACAGATATTTATTAGGTCATCAATGGAAGCGCAGTTACGCTCTAGATAACTGAGTGCCCTAGTCATGTCATTGAAGTAAGATCGGTGAGGAGTGATTTTGCCGGAATAAAGGCTTTGATAAACCGATCTACATTCACTTCCCATGTCTTCGACAATGAAAGGACCCGAGCTGTCATCGTCTCCTTTTTCGTCATCTGAATTTTGATTATGTTTGGCAATATCAGTGTTGTGTTCATTCACTGTACTTATCCAAATCAAAGGGTCGCAGAAGTAGCATAACGGCATAATCGCAGAGGTAGGCTACTAAAGAAAAAATATCACAGCATGTCCAAGAAGTGAATAATGATGAATGGGGCGAAGCGTCCGTCTATGTCTCTATCCGTTCGTTCTTCTGTCCGTGAGCCTGTCCATTTGTCTCTCTGTGCATGCTTCCGTCTGTCCGTATGGATAGACACATGGACGGACGCTTCGCTCCACTCATCATCGTTCACTCCATAGATATGCTGTCATTTTTTTCTTCCGGAAACTGATTTCAGCCTCGACACACAATGCCATCTACTGAGCTACTCATAAACTAAACTAGAGGTGGCTACATACATACATACATACATACATACATACATACATACATACGGCCTCAAGAGCTTTGCCTTTAAAAAGTGCAAACTGTCACTGCTATGTAACACCACAGTGCTTCATACCAGGTACATCAAACTCTGAATGTGTGTTGCGTACTTCTTGGACAAACATAACATTTAGATGTTCATTCTTACATTGCTGAACATTTATGAACACCGAAAAATTCGCGGTGCGAATGGGCGACCATAAATGACCAAAACGTGCCTGTAACCAGCCTGTGGGCGTCACAGAACAAGTGACGTTCCATCTAGACGCATGGCGACCGCCTGCACCCTCCTCCCTGTATCCTGCTTCTGCGGTTAGACGGGAGGATTCTTGAAACGGCATTACAATGAAAAGCAGCGCTAGTGCCATGAAAGAAAAAGCCACCATTTTAAACGAGTGTAACCTGTGAGCGTAAAACACGGCACTCTTCTGACTTTGCTTGTTGATTGGGCTGTCATTTTTTTTTCTTCGCCATTGACCTCCATACTACAGGCTACAAACTTCGAAGTACCGTAAGTTTCTAGCATAAGCGGATCTCTTGCAAAGGCATCGCAATTATAGGTGCTCTAATATGAGCAGTGTGAATATACAGCAAAAAAGCCCATTTGGGAATATTTACGCCCAAGCATTGACTTTGCCTCTCGTATACTTCAGCACAACATTCCCAAATGAGTGTGAAGTTATATAAAAGCATAAAACCATTTTTTTTTTCTGGCCACATGCAAGCTTCACCAACAGCGCTGCTGCTTTTCGACCATATGAAGGAGCGCCGCGGTGCGGAGAAAAGAGCGGGCCACGCCCAGCTCTGGAAACATGATCTCTCCGGGCGATTGGGACGGCCAGAGAGAAACCCGCTGCGCGCCCGCCATCTCGAAGGCCATGCTATCAGCAGTGAGGTTAGTCCTGTATTTGACAGAGGGCGCTTTGTCGCAAAAGGTTGACATTCAAATTTTGATTGAAGTCGTTCGCGCTAGCGCTGCTTGCAACTGTTTAGCATGGTGGTGAAACTATGTTTTGACTTTTATTGCATTGTTATTTTGTAATATGAATGGCTTGATTTAAACTTGTTTCGATCGTCAATGACACTGGCTATCATAACCAAAATAAAATGAACAGATACACTAAAAAAAGTTTTTTCTCTTTTTTTTTTTCAAGGACTAAAGAAAAGGTGGGTTGAATACTCGAGTAAATACGCGGCACCTTGCTTGTGGCCCCATCTGGGACTGTTGTAGTGCTGCTGTTTTGTGGCACTACTTTGGCGAAGGATAGAATGTCGACAAAATATGATAAGACACACTGCCTGGCTTCTTGGAAACAGATGACGAGTTGCCTTGATTGCGAGGATTTCTTTCTTCCTCTTACAGGTTGTGCATAATATGAAATATGCAGCCATTCATGCAGTGGCCCAGAGTGGTGCACTTCGAACCTTGGCAGCTTCCACAGCACATATGCTCTGAGAAGCACGTAGGGTGTTGCAAATGTTTCTGGGAGTATACTAAACTAAGTGCCTGGTAGGAAGTTCCTAGTTACTGCACCTGGTCTTGATGCATCGTACGTGTACAATTTTTTTACCTTTCCACCCACCCATCGAACAGTTTTTCACCGTTGAGGTACACGATGATGGTGTCTGAAACACCGTTGACGATGTTCATGCTTTGATAAGTGTTAGCAGATATAGGCCAATAGCCAAAGCTACAAGACAATTGAATTCCAGTTTATTAAATGAGTCACCATCCACTTGCCTCCTTGGTGGTCGTGTAAACATTGCCAATGTTTTCTGTGAGGAGTTTAGACACTGGAAATGACGAGATATTGGCTGCTTTTCTGCCTTTGGAATGGATTACATGTAAGCTGGGTAGTAGTTCTCTTTTCTGTTCAACAATAAAAAGGCTGCACTGGCCTCGTTTATCGGGGCAATAAGCGGAAAAGAAATTCATGAGGTACCCACCACGGGGCTGTCTGACAATAAGGAAACACAGACGCTCCTGGCTGCTACAACCAGATATGGCTGGTTAGCCATAACTGGTTGAATAGCCACACAAAGCTAACCTTTGCGGCAAAGAAAACTAGGTCTAAATGGAAGAGTGTGAAGAATGAAAGAGTGTGAAGAAGTGTGACCCACCCATTTCTCCTAGGTGGGTCAGCTCAGCGTTGCCACTGACACGAAGCCTTGGGCAAATGGGCCTTACCCGGCTCCAGCTCAAGTCCCAATGTCTCTCGGACACGGCAAGGCGTAAGAGAGTGCATGGTGAGAAGTCTCAGTGACGCTACACATGAAATGCCTGCTGAAGCGTTCCGAGGTAAGTAAGCATCCTGCTATACAACCTCACCTTGGTTCGTCCATTCTTGATAATGTGCCCCTCATCAAGGATGCAGTAGTTCCACTTGATGGTAGCAAAAAAATCAATGTCGTTGCGCACAATGTCGTATGAGGCCACCACCAGGTTGTGCTTGTGTGCTTTCTCCTGCAGCCTAAAAGGGGGACGGAGAAACGTGATCACTATGCAGAAACAAGGGCTAGCGAGTGAAGCTACCTGGCACGCTCCATTGGAGGACCCGTGTAATGCAGTGGTTGCAGGTATTTGCTGGAGACAAACTTCTCCACCTCGTACACCCAGTGCCCTGTTAACGTTGGTGGGCACACGACCAATGAGGGAAGAGGCTTGACATCTGCACGCTGTGTTTCCTGCAATGACATGCAGGCATCACATGGGTACAGACAATCATTTCTCCGAATAAATTGCACAATCTTACAAGGCTATTCTGCTACCTATGATACCTCACCAATTATAACTGACGTTGTGAAGGAACAGAACTTGTTAATGGGGCAAAAAAAGGGAAACAACAAAGACTTGCCTAGTAACACTAGGAGATATACAAGACCAGAAGCACACTTGCACACAAGTGTCAAAGAAGTTGTTTACTTGTTACATGGCAGCTGCTATACAACAGGCCAAATGGATTCTTGTTTTAATAACACTAGCTTAGACGGACATGCCATCTTGCCATTTCTATGCATTTTGAATGCATTCTAGGCATTCCAAAATTTGTTGGCACAGTTTTACAGCCGAAAAAGGCAGACATTTGCAAAGTCAGAAATGGCATACATTTCTGCAACTGCACCTGCGCATTCACAAACAGCATCCATTTTGTAGCGACGAACAAAAGGCATCGGCTGGAAGATCAACAACACGCGCATCCAACTTATTCCCTTCTGGAATAGTAAGCAAAAAAAGAAATAAAGGATTGCGAGAAAAGATAGCCGCAAAACGCTTTTATGGCATGTGCAGGCATCTCAGGGACAGCTTGCAGAAGATTGTGCCGTCAACCACTGAAGATGAATAAAGTGCAACAAAAAAGCTGTTTCCGAACAGTGTAGACGTATGTCAATTGTGAAAAGCTAAGCAACCTAACTTTTTTGTGTTACTGCATTTCTCACTCCCCCGAAAAAGTTATCAAAAAATTTAGCCCGTGTAATAAATGCACCCCCTAACTTTGCTCCAATTTTTCGATAAAAAAACTGTGTTAAATACCCAAGTAAATAGGATTTACCCATTTTTTGTTATAATCATATGCGATATAGGTACTATTAAAATTCAATTTGGAATTATTCAACCAAAAGCAATGTTTTCTTCTTACCGAACATTCTTAATTCGCACTAGTTTTTTAAAGTGAGCACAACTGCACACACACAAAGAGAAGCCGGGTGCACTATACGAAGATCAGGCAACGAAGGGTGCAGAGGGGTCAAAAGCCAGTTGGGTATTTTAGATTTTTGGGAAAGTGCTGGCGTTGGTGAAGAAACTTGAGCTGCTTTCTCCAAATGAGCAATGTAGAAAGAACCAACACTCTTGTGGTGCAAAGTTCTGTTTGCCTTCATGGCTGCAGCATTTGTTTACGCAAGCTCTTCTTCTTTTTCAGGATACGGAAGATCTTTTTTGAGAAATAAATGTTTTTTGCTATTGCAACTATTGTGAGCTTGTAAGCCTCAAATTTTATTAGAATTAGATTGTAGATTTTCCTGGACCTGCAGTAATTTTTAGTCTTTTTTTTTTCAAAAATGTATCTACCACAGTAATTAATACTCATGCCACTAAACTTTCTGTTTCCTAGTTCTAGAAAATAATAATCTTGGCTGCGAGTATTGAACATGTCATGCATTGAGTGTTTAAATAAGCACCTCGGCTGCTAGTACAAACTTTTGCTTCTTTGTCACACTCAAAAGCACTGCTCATTCACATAGGTATGTACGAAACAGCCATAGTAGGAGGCATGGTGGTGATGTTGAAGTGCAAGATGGTACCTTGTAGAGCTGCTCTCTTTTATGGTGGTCCGAGGCAAGAATGCAGATGGACTGGAGGGTCTTGCCCAGTCCCATGTCATCACACAAGATGCCATGCAGGCTGTATTTATTCAGGAACGCCAACCAGTTTACACCCTCCTGAAAAGGGGAGAATGATGAATGAGAAAAGCAGTGCCATCCACACAAAGTGCTGCTGATGGCAAAACCCAACCAAACTAATCCCATATACTTTTATGGCACTATTTCAATCCTTCCTTGGTGAACAAATTTAGATGGGCACTGCATCAGGAAACAAGCCATGCTTTTGAGAGTGTGTTTCCTTTGTGAAAATTCAGAACCCATTTTTATCGGCACAGTTTTTACTGTAAGCAGTCTTCACACATCAACATGACCAAAGCATAACATCCCATTTGAAGATTGGCAATGTATAGCGAATACCTGGCATTACAGTATCTGCTTGGTTCCCCCGAACTTTAAAGATACTGTCCTATCGTGCCCATTTTCTTGAATGAATGCACAGGTCATTTCGAATGTTTGGTTCAACAGCAAATCAGATGAGCAACTGAGCCTCCTACCATAGATAGATTCCTATACCTGCCATGTTTGAGTAATGTACAACTCTTTTGATGCCAGGAAACACTGCTAGATATAGCGGTTTTCATGAATATATTTCTCGTATGTAGTGTTCAGGGCTAACAAGATAATTGACCTTTCTCGTTGACCCAAGTGAGGGTCATAGAGCAAGTTGTCTGTTCTGAGAAAGTCCCACCTTAGTTTGTTGTTTACGATGTCTTCATAAGATTTTACCAGATAACTTGTAAATGCCATTAGTTTGCAACTGCTTTGTAAGATAGGCTCTTTCTGGCTTTCAAGAATGGAACTGTAACGACTTTCTTCTTTCTTCTTGCTGGGCGTATTTTACCAGTAAAACACAGCAGCGCATCCACCGCTTCTGGGACAGGTGCTAAATGTATGAATGATCAGGGGAAAGGACCAGTCAACATGCACGGTAAAACACAAACAGAGGTTTATTGACTGATTTGCAAGCTACCCTATGTCATGTTGACAAATGTACATAGGAACTACAGGGTGGTCTCTTTGCGAAAGATTAAGCGAGCGCCAGTACAACCTGAAAAGAGTCGCTGAATGCTTTCATTTGGTAGGGCACTGCAGAAATCGCAGGAGCAGCCCATGTTATCCCCTGTTTGAACAAGCCACTGTTATGTACAAACACAAGAATTTTCTAGCACAAGAACGAATGAAGCAAGTGCATTAGCTGGCCACCTCCATAACACTGAAATAGCAATTCCAAACTTTGGATAAATAGCAAAAGGAATTATCTGTGGGAAGCATTTCTCATTTTTTAAGTTTGTAATTTTTATAAGCATGCAAGGCGCACAAGTTTGCCCTCTCTACATAAACATGTTTCTTACAGCTGATACTCAGCAATGTGTCCTTAACTTTCTGTGTTTTCTCCATTGTGCTGTCACATAACGAATCGTTACAATCTAGCCCAGTTCACCGCACTCTTTCGATTTGTCACAGAGTTGTAGAGTGAACAAAGGGAGCAGATTGCAGGTCGCTTATATCGGTCGTACTTACGGCCACATAAGAGGAAAGTCAGATTTCAGCAAGACTCTGGCACTGATAGTGGCGAACAGAGCGTCGGCCGTCGATCAACTGGCAAACAGCAGTGAAGCGCATCAGCCTACATACACGTGCTGTCGAATATATTAGCATTATCGCTAGCGGCCACGTAGGTTCCAGAATAATCTTCAATGCTCGCCAAGTGGGCATAATCTTAACGAAACGATCTAATACAGTCGTGATGCACCTCGAACACTACAGACGTGGCTTACACTGACAAATACGTACAGTGTGATAGGGCGATAACAAAACTTCAGGAAGGAACGTGGCATTGCCCCCTTCTGAAAAAGGGATCGTCCTGATGCTTTAAATGAAGATGAAAACACAATATTAATGCGAAAAAGTACAAGCAAAAAGTTATGATACAGCAATAACAACCACAACAAAACACACTATTCCAGTTCGTTAACGCACATGAAACGACATGAGGCATGTGACATGGATGACTTCAGGTCGCGATAGATGCCGTTGAGAGTTTGTGATGCTGTCAGGAGCAACCTTCTAGTCGAGTGAGCCAAGACATCGAACTACCCTGTATAGTTCGAAGTACCATCACAGAAGTTTTTTACTGAATCCACATCAGTGTATTGGCGTCTATACCCAAAAACGTTCGCCGGGCTGGTACTCCAGGAAGCGCCGTCGAAGATGGTAAGAACAGCTGTTTCTCGTGTGTTGGTTCTTGATTTGGAAGCGAGCAAACTGTCGTGCTTCTTCGGCGCGCTGAAGGTACTCCCTCACATAGAGGTTTTCAATGTTCGGTAAATGCAGTAGAGCGTCAATGTCAGGGTCCTTTCGTAGATCAACTTGTATAGTGTTATCTGTGTAATGTCTTGTACAATGGTGTTGTATGCAAAAGTCACATACAAAAGAATGGTGTCCCTCGTCTTGTGTTCGACGTACATGGCCAGCATGTTGGCGATTGTCTTGTTTAGCTGCTTGGTGAGGTCATTGGTCTGTGGGTGGTACGCTGTCGTCTGGCAGTGGCCTGTCTGGCCGTGTGCGAAGATCAACTGAGTTAACTCCGCGGTGAAGGCCGTACTTCTGCCAGTAACGAGGACCTCTGGGACATCATGATGCAGGATTATGTTCTCGACGAAGAACTTTGATACCTCGGCAGCGACGCCTTAGGAAAGGGCTCTTGTCTCGACGCAGCAGTAGGGGTAGTCAGTAGTGACGACGATCCATTTATTTTTAGAATTTAACATTGGTAACGACCCCGGTAAGTCCATGCCGATTTACTGGAACGGCCGGCGAGGTGGCTTGATGGGCTGCAAGAGTCCAGCTGATCTAGTTAGTGGTGTCTTCCGTCGCTGGCAGTCTCGGCAGGTTCTTACGTAGTGGATGACATCAGCAGAGAGATGGAGCCAGTAGTACTTTTCATGTATCCTCGCTAGCGTGCAGGAATATCCAATCCAAGGTGTCCAGTTGTAGGGTCGTCATGCAGAGCATCCAGAACTACTGGATGAAACGCCGAAGGTACTATGATTAGCTAGGCCCAAGATGACGAGGTTTTTGCTGACGGGGATGCCATCACGCAAGAAAAATGACGCCAGTCCTCACTTGAATACCTCTGAAACAACGACAGTTTTGCCCTTGAGGTATTCCACAAGGTCCTTGATTGCAGAGTCGGCTCACTGTCGTTCTACAAAGTCATTGATGCTTAGGGTTCCCAAGAAGCAGTCGCCGTCTTGCTGTCCTGCGGCGATGGGTCAACGGAGGCACGGGACAGGCAGTCGGCGTCAGAGTGCCTTCGCCCTGACTTGTAAACGACGGTGATATCGAATTGCTGAAGTCACAGACTCCAACGTGCGACCGACCTGAAGGGTCCTTCAAGTTAGCTATAGCCACCAGAGGGTGTGCTGGTCGCTCAAAACTTTGAGAGGCCTGCTGTGGGGGTAGGGGCGAAACTTGAAGATGGCCCAGATGATGGCAAGACACTCCTTTCTTATTGTGGAATAGTTGACTTCTGCCTTAGATAGCAACCGGCTTGCATAACTGATGACCCTTTCAAGTCCATCAATCTTCTGCACCAGGACGGCTCGAGCCCTACACTGCTTACATTGGTATGGGTTTCCGTGTCGGCATTTTGGTTGAAATGTTCAAGTATCGGTGGTGTCTGCAGGTGCTGTTTTAGTTCTTGAAATGCTTCCTCCTGTGACGTTTCCCGCTTGAAGTCGACGTCTGTCTTTGTAAGGTTAGCGAATGGCTTGGCGATGCAGGCAAAACTTTTGATGAAACGCCTGCGATAGGTGCACAGGCTAAGGAATCGATACGCGACCTTCTTGTTGGCGGGTGGCGGGAATGCAGCGATGGCTGTCGTTTTCTGTGGGTCAGGGCGTACTCCAGACTTGCTTATCATGGGTCCCAAGAACAAGAGTTTCTCTTATGCAAAGCGGCACTTTTCTGGCGTCAGAGTGAGTGCGGAGGTCTTGATTGCTTGAAGTGCAACTTCAATGCGCCGGAGATGCTTGTCAAAGCTTGAGGAAAACACGAGGACATCGTTCAAGTGCACGAGGCAGGTCTGCCACTTCAATACAGGCAGCAGGATGTCCATAACTTGCTGGAACGTCACAGGCGCAGGGCAAAAACCAGAGGGCATGACCTTGAACTGAAAGAGGCTGACTGGTGTAACGAAGGGTGTCTTTTCTCGGTCTCGCTTGTCTAATTCGATTTGCCAGTAGCCTGTTTTGAGGTCCATCGATAAAAAGTATTTTTCATTATGGAGTCGATCAAGGACGTAGTCGATTCGTGGGAGAGAATATACGTCCTTCTTCGTGATTCTGTTGGGGTGCCGATATTCAACGCAAAAGCGTAGTGTTTCATCCTTTTTATTTCCTAACAACACTGGTGATATTAGCCCATGAACTTTTTGAAAACTGGATGATGTCATCGCGTAGCCTTTCGTCAACTTATTTTTTTATAGCCTCTTATTCAAGTGTCGAAACTCTGTACGGACTCTGACAGCAGGGTGGCCTGGCATTTTCTTCTGTTGTGATTCTTTGTTTCACAACAGGGTTCTGTTGAATCCTTGATGACAATCAAAAGCAGTTCTTGTATTTCAGAAGCAGATTTCTGAGCTGCTCTTAATTATGCATGGGAAAGCTCAGATTAACGTCAAAAGCTGGTTGGAGGGTTTGAGTCGTCGGAGTAGATTCAGCAGAATCGGTGAGGACGAAAGCATTGCTGGCTTTCAGTATTTCTTTAATGTAGGCAACTGTTGTGTCTTTGCCAAGCTGCTGGTACTTATTGCTAAAATTTGTGAGCCTCACTGCTGCTTTACCTCTACACAGCTCGGTGATTTCTCTTGCAATGCAAATATCTCGGTCGACTAACAGCTGCTCCTTGCCTTCAACGACACCTTTGAAGTCTTCTGGTTTTGAAGTGCCGATGGAAATGATGATGCTCGAGTAAAGTGGAATGGTGACTCCCAGCACATTCAAGATGTGGCTTCCTGGTGGCGTGTGCGGCGGTAGTGCTTTTTCTTTGGA